TTTTTTTTTAAAAAAAATTTTTCTGAATCATAAAACAGGAATATTTATAAAATTTTTGATATTTTTTATTCATGTGAAGAAGATAGCTTAGTTATACATTAATAATTAAGTGAAATATCAAGATTTTATTCTATCAAATGTTACAATAAAATTTGTATGAATATTTGAATTTGGGACTTGCTATTGGTTCTATTTCTTAGGTTAATTAAAGTCTTTTGTTGCAATATTTGAAATGATATTTTCTGTAGGCTTGATAAGGACACTATTTTGTGGGTTTAAGGACATTCTTTTGTTTTGTGGTAATTTTGGAATTACATTATTTTGGTAATTTTAGGACATTCTTCAATTGTAGTAATTTAAGGACATTCTTTAATTGTCTAAATTTTAGTACATTCTTTAATTATGTTAATTTTAAAAGTTCACATTATTGTGTTAATTTAAGGACATTCTTTAATTGTGGTAATTTTAGGACAGAAATCTTTATTTGCTGTAATTTAAGGACATTATTTGTGTTAATTTTAGGACATGTTATTTTAGTCAGGGGCTGTGATTAAATTGCTTGGTTGGAAAGTGTGAGTGATCTGTGATATGTAAAACGGTCCAATATAATGACATTATTTATGTTGAAAGACACAAATTGTTATTTGCGTTGAAAGAGACATTTTTTCTAAAAAGCAAAATAATATATTCAGTGAAAAACACGATCAGCTGTTTTTAATACTAAGACTTTTATGTTTTATATAAAGTGAATAGTGAAAATATGATGGCCTTATATTATAATTATACATACTTTGACAAATAAATAAAAGTACAAATTTATTCAGTGTGTTTAGTGTTTATATGACTTCAATTAATTTTGCCTTAGTTAAAGGCAAAAAGCACATGAGAATATTTTGTTTTGTGTGTAATACTGAAAGTGAACACAAGATGAAACGGGGGCATGGGTGGAGAGCCTCATTTCCTATTTCATGAGATAATTATACATTCATGCCAATTTTCATTAAAATCTGAGATAGGGACCAGAAATGTTTTCTTGTTTCATGTATAGAGAGCCATGGTTCTAAACCATTTTGTCACAGAATGAAGAAGACTTTTGTTCCCTTTTATTCATTTACTTGCCCCAAATCAGATTAAATCACTAAAACAGACAGGCGGGCAGGCAACACAATTTCCACTCTCCCCTCTCCAATTTTATTGGGGATAATAAAGCCAAATGAAGGCTTACATCCATCATCAACAAATATTCAACATAAGAACAAACCCAAAAGTTTTTCCTCTTTCAATTTTTATTTTATTTGTTTTACACACTGACTTTTTTTTATTTATTCATGATCAGTATAACCAGTACATTCAATGTACGAGTTATACACAAATATTATATTAAACAAGATATGTTTGTAAAACATGTATGCCCCCTATCAGCAGCCAATTAGTCATGTGATAAGGTTATTATGCATGACTTCTGACCCAGTGATCAAACAATTAAAAAGGATTATCAAGTATCTACTGGTCATGACCTTAACCTTTGACCCCTTGACCCAAAACTCAATGGGGTCATCTGCTGCGTCACGACCAATCATCATACAAAGTTTGAAGTTCCTAGGCCTAAGCGTTTTTAGTTAATTGATCAGAAACCGTTTTTACCTTTCAAGGTCAATGTGACCTGACCTTTGACCACTTGACCCCAAAATCAATAGGTCATCTGCTGGTCCATGACCAATCACCATACCAAGTTTGAAGTTCCTAGGCCTAAGGGTTCTTTAGTTATTTTGATCGGAAACCGTTTTAACATACAAGGTCAATGTGACCTTGACCTTTGACCCCAAAATCAATGAGGGGCATCAGCTGCTCATGACCAATCACCATGCCAAGTTTTGAAGTTCCTAGGCCGAAGCGTTCTTTAGTTATTGATCAGAAAACCGTTTACTTACAATGTCAATGTGACCTTGACCTTTGACCCCTTTGATCCCAAAATCATTAGGGTAGTCTGCTGGTCATGACAAATCACCATGCCAAGTTTGAAGTTCCTAGGCCTAAGCGTTTCTTAAGTTTTTGATCAGAAACCGTTTTTTACTTACAAGGTCAATGTGACCTTGACCTTTGACCCCTTGACCCAAAACTCAATAGGGGTCATCTGCTGGTCACGACCAATCATCATACAAATTTTTGAAAGTTCCTAGGCCTAAGTTTTTAGTTAATTGATCGGAAACCGTTTTTACCTACAAGGTCAATGTGACCTTTGACCTTTACCCTTGACCCCAAAATCAAAAAGGTCATCTGCTGGTCATGACCAATCACCATACCAAGTTTGAAGTTCCTAGGCCTAAGGGTTCTTTAGTTATTGATCAGAAAACGTTTTTTACCTATGAGGTCAATGTGACCTTGACCTTTGACCCCTTGAACCCCAAAATCAATAGGGGGTCATCTACTGATCATGACCAATCATCATATCAAGTTGAAGTCCCTAGGCCTAAGGGTTCTTTTGTTATTGATCGGAAACCGGTTTTTACCCAAGAGGTCAATGTGATTCTTGACCTTTTGACCCCTTAACCCCCAAAATCAATAGGGGGTCATCTGCTGGTCATAACCAATCACCATTTACCAAAGTTTGAAGTTCCTAGGCCTAAAAGTTTCTTTAGTTATTGATCGAAACCGTTTTTGCTTACAAGGTCAATGTGACCTTGACCTTTGACCCCTTGACCCCAAAATCAATAGGGTCATCTACTGATCATGACCAATCACCATACCAAGTTTTGAAGTTCCTAGGCCTTAAAGTTCTTTAGTTATTTGATCGGGAAACCATTTTTCCTTACAAGGTCAATGTGACCTTGACCTTTGACCCCTTGACCCAAAATTCAATAGGGGTCATCTACTGATCATAACCAATCACCATACCAAGTTTGAAGTTCCTAGCCTTAATGTTCTTTAGTTTTTGATCGAAACTGTTTTTCCTTACGAAAGGGTCAATGTGACCTTGACCTTTGACCCCTTGCACCCCAAAATCAATACTGGGGTCATCTACTGATCATGAACAATCACCATACCAAGTTTGAAGTTCCTAGGCCTTAAGGTTCTTTAGTTATTGATCGGAAACCGTTTTTGCCTACGAAGGTTCAATGTGACCTTTGACCTTGACCCCTTGACCCAAAAATCAATAAGGGGTCATCTACTGGTCATGACCAATCACCAACCAAGTTTGAAGTTTCCTAGCCTAAGGGTTCTTAGTTATCACTCGGAAACCATTTGGTCTACGGACCGACGGACCGACAGACCGACGGACCGACGGACCGACAAGTGCAAAGCAATATACCCCCTTTTCTTCGAAATGGGGGCATAAATATTCACTAACTTAACAATATAAACAAGATTAGCTGTAACAAACATTTTTATAATACACTGAACTAATGGATCAGGAGTATCCCATAAAGCCATCCCACAAATAAACAAAGCTACATGCAAATATGTATATATACATGTATATTATATACATCCATATACAATTTTCATAAACATATATTTTAGTAACATGATTCAGTAACATAAAATTCCATTATATAAATATATACACTTCTCTTTACACATTATACATACTTAATACACTATATGCCATTAACTATACACATACAAGTATTTCCATTAACACATTCCATTACTTGGCATACCATTCCATTATTTTTACAAGTATTTCCATTAACACATTCCATTAATTGGATTACAGGTATTTCAATTAACACCTTACTTTAATTGGCATATTATTCCATTAACACATTCCATTATTTTTACAAGTATTTCCATTAACACATTCCATTATTTTTTTTACAAGTATTTCCATTAACACATACCATTAATTGGCATACTATTCCATTAACACATTCCATTATATTTACAAGTATTTCCATTAACACATTCCATTATTTAACATACAGTTCCATTAAAATAGTCCATTATTTAACAAACACAATTTAATAAAAAAGAAACATATTCCTTTACTAGTTACCCTGGTTAATATAATAAAAGCCGGATAAAAATAATAAGAGCCTGTGCTATGAGAACATAAATAGTTAAGACCCCAATAAACCTGTTTGCTTGTGGCCGTCATTTTATTTTTTGAAGGAAAACTAAGAGTAAAATGCTAGGAGTGAGGAAAAAAAAGTGGGGATATAAAGATGAAAGTTTAAACTTCAACCCAGTCTTCAGTATAGAACCTGGTCACACTTTTGACCCGGCCATGTTTGTTCTAAATTAAACAAGGGTCCATCCGCCCGTTCAGGCACTGAAAGTCTGACCTCACTTTATACTGGTGGTGAAGTTTTATCACTTCCGGTTCCAAGCAGGTTAAAGGATAATATTATGTACAGTTTATCATAAAACCTTTTAACCCAAGAAGGCCGAAAATTAAAACAAGAGGGCCATGATGGCCCTGAGGTCGCTCACCTGTATAAAGGCACCCGGAGCGGGGCCAGTTTAAACATATTTGAACAAACTTGGAAGACACCCATTAGAAGATGTTTCACGATGTTAAGTTTTTACTACACACATATAATGAAAAACAATGATCTACCCCCCCCCCCCCCCCTTCCGCTACCCCCCCTTTTTTTAAAGTTTTTACTATAATTATGCATATAGGGAAAATCAAAGAACCCCTGGGGCGGGCCAATTTTTGACCCCAGGGCTTTTATTTGAACAAACTTGGTAGACACTCACTAGAAGATGTTTCATGCCAAATATCTAAGCTCTAGCTCTTAGGGTTTTTTAAAAGAAGATATTTAAAGTTTTTTCTTTCGGTTGCCATGGCAACCAGAGTTCTGCATGGAATTAAATTCTTTGAACAATTTTTAAAGGTGACCACCAAAGGAACATTCCTGTGAAGTTTGGATGAAATTGGCTTAGTGGTTTATATGTCATTTAAAGTAAAAATTTACGGATGGACGGACGCCGGACGAAAAGCGATCACAAAAGCTCACCCTGTCACTTTGTGACAGGTGAGCTAAAAAGTAAGATACGCAATCTAATAAGCTCCAAACATACTGTAAAATCTGTATTATTCGTGTGACACAAATTTTCGTGGATAAGTCAATCCAAGAATTTAAGATTAAATGAAATCTTATTTCTTCTGCTATAAGATTATTTTTGCATTTGAATTTTACTTTATTGCAAAATCAGCCGGATTCTTTAATTTTTCAATAAAGTGAAATGAATGATAATGTCTTTTTTTTGACAAAACCACCAAAATGTCATGCCCATGAAATTAAATCAGAAGCATTATGCAACTACTCAAGCAAGAAGTAAAGTTTACAGAAATATAAAATATTATAGACTTGGTTAATCAAAGATTATGCTAATATATATATGCCTGAATATGTTCGTGAACAAGAGCACAGCATGTGGTTTTACCACTCGTCTGTTGAAAATTCTGATTTAAAAAGGGGCATAACTCCAGAAATATTACTTTCAGAATTATGCCCCTTGTCTAACAACTGCACATTCAAAGTTTCATGTTTATCACTTTTAAAATGTTTGAATTATGGGCTATATTAAAGTTTTAGCCTGAGGCCAACAACAACGACATCGCAACGATCATTATAGCTTGACTTTTTCTTCCAAAAAGACAAGATTATAAAAGCAAGACATAACAATACTAATATATATTCAGCTTAGTGCAGTAACGGGTAAAGTCATTCTAAATTTAATAGGAGTTAACCAGTTATTGCACTAAGTTATGTTTAAAGAGTATGAAGCTAAACTGGGCTGCCTATACACGATAAAATATCTGCTATATCTCATTAATAATGAACAAATTTGTATTAAAATCTGTGTTAAAAAAACCCACTAAAAACAGAAAAACAAACAAATCAAAACGTTGTATTACAAGAAAAGGCAACTTTCAAATTTTTTTTAATAAAATACTAATTGGATAGATCAACAAAAAAAAGAAGAGAGTTATGATTGCTTGACCAAAGCCCTCATTTTTTGTCCATTTTTAGAAAAATTAAAAATTATATGGTAAAAATTATCTATTCCATGCATTTATCACACAAGAAGATCCAAATATTTAATTTTTACAATAATTGTTATCTATTTCATGCTTTTATCACACAAGAAGATTCAAATATCTCAAGTACTTTTGACTGTGAGGAACAGATTTTTTAAAAATTTCAGTTTTAAAGTCCATTTTCTGAATTACAGTGAATAATTACGAACAACTAAAAACATAGTAACTGGCAAAATAAGCTATAAAAATTTCATAAATCACACTGATGTTATATATTTTTTGTATATATTTGGAGAGTTTTCACAAAATCTGTGTTATTAAATGCACATGATTTATTATATAACAACTTGATTAAAAAAAAAGAAGAAGACAAAAACATTCCCCTTACAAAGTATTTAACAAATGTCATCTTTTATATAGTAGGGGTAGTCAAGTATAGCTTTACACCCTTTAATTAAACTCGTAGTGCATATAATGCACAATCATATTGTTAATAACTATCCATTACTACATTAAACAAACAGAATTAAAATCTTCCATCTAAATATGCACAATCCTTCAACATTATTACCATAAAGTGACATTATGCTCATTTTATTAAATTTTTTTTGACTTTCAAGTTGAATTAGTAATATATTTAAAAGATTGACTGTACATATGTAATAATGGTAAGTGACCCAACATTGATAATGAAAAATGTTTATGATACACTATAAACACTACCTAAAATAGAAAACATCTGCCCTATTCATTTTAAGATTTGAGAGTTACCCATATAACGATATTTGTATACATTTCCTTTGGTCGTTATTTTTTCATAATAAAATTGAACACAATTATGGCAAAATGTTAAGTTATTTTTATCTATTTTATCTCTAATTGTTTACTGATCATTTATACTTGGCGGGCATAATGTCACTTTAGTATTATATATAATGATTATAATATTCACTTTAGTATTATATATAACAAGATATGTTTGTAAAACATGTATGCCCCCTATCTGCAGCCAGTTAGTCATGTGATAAGGTTATTATGCATGACTTCTGACCCAGTGATCAAACAATTAATAAGGGTTATCAAGTATCTACTGGTCATGACCTTAACCTTTGACCCCTTGACCCAAAACTCAATAGGGGTCATCTGCTGGTCATGACCAATCATCATTACAAAGTTTGAAGTTCCTAGGCCTAAGCGTTTTTAGTTAATTGATCGGAAACCGTTTTTTACCTACAAAGTCAATGTGACCTTGACCTTTGACCCCTTGACCCAAAATCAATAGGTCATCTCTGCTGGTCATGACCAATCACCATACCAAGTTTGAAGTTCCTAGGCCTAAGGGTCCTTTAGTTATTGATCGGAAACCGTTTTAACATACAAGGTCAATGTGACCTTGACCTTTGACCCCAAAATCAATAGGGGTCATCTGCTGGTCATGACCAATCACCATGCCAAGTTTGAAGTTCCTAGGCCGATGCGTTCTTAAGTTATTGATCAGAAACCGTTTTTACTTACAATGTCAATATGACCTTGACCTTTGACCCCTTGATCCCAAAATCAATAGGGGTAATCTGCTGGTCATGACAAATCACCATACCAAGTTTGAAGTTCCTAGGCCTAAGCGTTCTTAAGTTTTTGATCAGAAACCATTTTTACTTACAAGGTCAATGTGACCTTGACCTTTGACCCCTTGACCCAAAACTCAATAGGGGTCATCTGCTGGTCACGACCAATCATCATACAAAGTTTGAAGTTCCTAGGCCTAAGCGTTTTTAGTTAATTGATCGGAAACCGTTTTTACCTACAAGGTCAATGTGACCTTGACCTTTGACCCCTTGACCCCAAAATCAATAGGTCATCTGCTGGTCATGACCAATCACCATACCAAGTTTCAAGTTCCTTAGCCGAAGGGTTCTTAAGTTATTGATTGTAAAGCATTTTTACCTACAAGGTCAATATAACCTTGCCCTTTGACCCCTTAACCCCAATATCAATAGGGGTCATCTGCTGATCATGACCAATCACCATAATAAGTTTGAAGTTCCCAGGCCTAAGGGTTCTTTAGTTATTGATCGGAAACCGTTTTAACCTAAGTGGTCAATGTGACCTTGACCTTTGACCCCTTGACCCCAAAATCAATCGGGGTCATCTACTGATCATGACCAATCACCATATCAAGTTTGAAGTTCCTAGGCTTAAGGGTTCTTTCGTTATTGATCGGAAACCGTTTTTACCTACAAGGTCAATGTGACCTTGACCTTTGACCCTTAAACCCAAAATCAATAGGGGTCATCTGCTGGTCATAACCAATCACCATACCAAGTTTTGAAGTTCTAGGCCTAAGGGTTCTTTTGTTATTTGTCAGAAACCGTTTTTACCCAAGAGGTCAATGTGACCTTGACCTTTTGACCCCTTGACCATAAAATCAATAGGGGTCATCTACTGATCATGACCAATCACCATACCAAGTTTGAAGTTCCTAGGCCTTAAGGTTCTTTAGTTATTGATCGGAAACCGTTTTTGCTTACAAGGTCAATGTGACCTTGACCTTTGACCCCTTGACCCCAAAATCAATAGGGGTCATCTACTGATCATGACCAATCACCATACCAAGTTTGAAGTTCCTAGGCCTTATGGTTCTTTAGTTATTGATTGGAAACCGTTTTTGCTTACAAGGTCAATGTGACCTTGACCTTTGACCCCTTGACCCCAAAATCAATAGGGGTCATCTACTGGTCATGACCAATCACCATACCAAGTTTGAAGTTCCTAGGCCTAAGGGTTCTTTAGTTATCACTCGGAAACCATTTGGTCTACGGACCGACGGACCGACAGACCGACGGACCGACGGACCGACGGACCGACAAGTGCAAAGCAATATACCCCCTTTTCTTCGAAATGGGGGCATAATAATTATAATATTATTTTATACAACTATTCTTACATAATTTTAACACAAATATTGATGTAGATGCATTTTTACAAAATGAGACTTGTGCTCTTAATATATTTCTATGCATAAACTTATAATTTCCGAGGACATTACCATTTCTGATTATCAAATATATTCAAGTGCTTAACTAGAACTCCGCGAGTCGGATGTGTCGCCTTGTGAACAATATAGTTTAGGAGAAATGGCCAGGAAAAAAATGAAATATGTAAACTAACAAAGGTCAATAACTCAAAATATAAAAAGTGCAGAGCAACAGTTTCTATGTACTGCACTTCTTATCTTATCAATAAGATCTATCATTCTATGAAGTTTCAAGTCCATAATTATCTTTTATAAGTTATGAGAAATAGCCAGGACAAAAATATAGTATGAAAATTAATAAAGGGTAAAAACTCACAAATAAGAAGTGCAGAGTACCGGTTCTTGTACACTGCACTTTTTCTTAATGAGATCTATCATCCTATGAAGTTTCATGTCCATAGCTTTCATACTTGAGGAGAAATGACCGGGACAAAGTAT